TATATATATATATGGCACACACACGCACAACAACACATTTATACAAAAATAGTTTAAGAACTCCAAGTTATGTTTCTACCTTACTTTTCCTACTGCCAGATACTGCAGACATACATTCCAGTTTCTTTTGTGAAGACAACATTACACCATACTGTTTATAGCATGAATGCTGGCCAGGGCTAACGTAAACACTGGACAAGGAATCTCTGGCTCCAGTATGTCCATGAGGCTCAGTCAATAGCAACAAATGAGGTTTTCCCACATTTTTAAACCATACTAGGAATTCCTCAGTTTTTGAACATATCAGATACACAAATGACTCCATGTGGCCTGTGTGTTCCATAGCTTCCCACAAACTCTGAACTCATTTTTCAAAGTTATGTTTCATTTCACTGCAACGTTCAATTTGACTTGTAAAATTGATCTTGATGATACTTGATAACACTGATGGGATACTTTAGGTCTTATATCCAGGGCAGGTTTTAAGCACTGAAAATAAATAGCCTGTATGTTCTGCCACAGTAAATAAAAAGAACAAGTTCTAAAGCATTAATGTTCCACATATCCTGTCAAAAAAGAGGGAAGGGAATAGGACTATGATTTTTAAAAAAAGCTGTGTAAGTGTAAGAAGACACTTAATTTTAGATACTAGGCTGTAACAATTTAATCAAGTTCTTACCAGCCCCTTACAACTTTTATTAACGCCCCATTTGGGAAAGACAATGTTGTAGCATCAGGAATATTACAGTAGACCTCTTGCTTGTGTTTATTTCCATGGAGATCATAGATAACCATCTGCAATATATAATAGGTAGGCATAATAACCAATTTTAAGAACGCACTTAAAAGTCCAACATGTTACAGAATATATAAAATAAAATTTCCTAAATGCATACAGAAAATATTTGAAGCAATTACCTCAGATGTTAAATCCATAGTTTAAATTTTTTCATTGTCTAATTCCATTAAAAGTATCTTCAACTCCAAAAGCCTAAAAGCAACCAAAAGTTTCAATATTTACCTGAGCCTACCTGAGAAAGATATGCTTACCTTCCCAGGCCTTGGGTTATACCTCAAAGTTTGTTTGTCAACATTCTGAAATAATAAAAGTAGAAAAACTAAGATAAAACTGAGTAATATATATATGTGTGTATATATATATTTCATATTCTTAACAGTCATAAACACAATTTGTCACATATTTAGTAGGAGGCTGCTTCCATTGATTAAAAGAGAGAGAACCAGAAAGATACAGCAAAGCAACATGGTGTCATTTCCCTCAAAAAGTGCACAGTTCAGAAGCAGCAAACAGATGACCACCCTCCATTAACTTCTACAAGAGACAATAAGTAAAAGCACAGCTAACCAGCAAGGGCTATACCATTATGAAAATGGCACACCAGAAGGAAGGGGAGGCGATGCAACAGGGAGCTTCAGAAAAAGCTTAAGTAATATTAAGAGAACTTTGAAAAACAGGATTTCAAGGAGTGGAAAAAATGGAGCATGTTGAGGGAGCAACAATAGAGGAAATATTCCAGAAAGACAACCATCCTGAGAAAAAATTACACTGGGCAAGAAACAGAGAACGGGGAGGCAAGGTGGGCAAAAAAGAACCCAGGTCTTTAAGACTGACTTACTTTATGTGTATGAGTGTTTGCCTGCATGTATGTATGTGCATCACGTGTGTACCTGGTGCTTGCATAAGCCAGAAGAAAGTGTCAGACCCCCCGGAACCTAAGCTCTAGACAGTTGTGAGCCACCATGTGAATGCCAGGAACCCAACCCGGGTCCTCTGTAAGAGAAGCCCATGCTCTTAACCACTGAGCCATCTCTCCAGCCCCAAGAACCCAGGTCTTTATATCAAGTAAAGATGCTTCATCGGATTTGATAAGCAATGGGGAACCCTAAAACAAACATTTCTTCCAATATCATTGTTTCTTTTAAAATCATCTTTGCTTTTAGGGTAACTAGTTGATAATCACCTATTACTACATGTTTCTAAGGCTGTTAAAGTTCAAGCTACAGGCCTTAAGGGTTCTCCAGAAAGTTCCATGGCGTTACCAATGCCAGAAAAGCAAGCTCCATACTTGAACAGTATTCCACATTAGATATTTGCATGTTCTTAGGTCAAAGAAAAAATGTAACTAAAGTTCAAAACAGTTTTTTGAGCCATAATCAAGCGATTTTAGTTAAAAAAAATCTTTATATCATAATGATATACAGTGCTCTGCTCTGTATAAAGCACCTACAATGAGAGGACAGGGCCGAGCAAAGAGGCAAAATTTTGACTAAACAAATTATTTTCATGAGATAAATAAGCTAAATGGAAATTAGCAAGTTTACCATGCATGATACCTTGAGAAAGTCAATAAACTGCCACCTCATTTATTTTGAAAAACATTAGCCAAAGACTTTAAAATCACCGGCTTCTCCAACATGCTCTTTAAATTCTGACTAAGCAATTTTGTTTTCTCATTTTTAACAGATAGCTAAAACATATGTTATGATATACTTCAAAGAAGAAACCTCATATTAAAAAACATCACACAATGTCAAAATATCTTGTGTGTGTGTGTGTGTGTGTGTGTGTGTGTGTGTGCGTGTGTGTGTGCGTGCGTGCGTGTGGAGGGGGCGTTCTGGGAATTAAACTCAGGGCCCTGCATCCCATCCCAGACCAGCACTGTATCACTGATCTACATACTCTGCTCTTCTGTTTTTCTCTTTTGAGAAAGAGGTACCACTAAGGTGCTAGGCTATCCTAGAACTTGCACTTCTTCTGTCATAGCCTCCCATGTAGCTTGGACTGCACGCCTGCACCACTGTACTCGTCCCAAAACATTAACTTTCTTAATATGACTTTAGAAAATTTCACTACCTTAAGCTTTATTTTACTAGCTAATAATCACATTAACTTACCTCTATATATGGACTCAATCTGTCTGCGTGGTCTTGAACACTGAAGTATTTTGACACTGGTTCCTGAAAAACGCCACCAAATCTGGTTCCTTTTTCTGAAGAATGAGTCTTTGAAGTCTGTAAATACTGATGATAAGCACTCTTTAAAGAAGAATGCAATTTAGAAGTAAGATCATATTTTTGTAGAAATGAAGCCTTTTCTGGCCATAGAGCACTTTGCAGATTGGAGGTGGTAGGTTCATTGGATGCTACACATGACTTCTTGAAAATTCCAGTGCTTTCCTCATCATCGTCAGGGTAGAATGTAATGGAAGGGTCTGGCAAGTGGAAGGTAACGTGCTCCCTCCATTCAGCTCTCAAGCTTTTACTTGAAGCTGCTTCTTCTTCCTCCTCCTCTTCCTCAGCCATGTATCTATCATCTTCATCAAAATTTCTCTGTAAGCGCTCTGACACTGACTGCAGGAGTGATAAAACAGAAGAGGGCTGGTTTGCACTCTCCCTTGATTTCGTGGAGCCATGATGACCAGGAGAGACTTCGCTGGATAGAATGTCCTCTTGTGAGCTGTCGTCCTCATAAATGGGACTCAGAGCCAAAGTATAAATTTTGTACCTTTTGGCTTCCACTGATAAGAACATTTCTGAATTGTCTCCATCAAATGTTTCACCTAATTTAGTTTCTTTTTCAAAATGATGGACCAGATCAGTTCTGCTCTCAGACCTTTCATATGCTAGGGCAGGCATGCTGTTAGGAGACATGTCAGCATACACAGATCGTGTTCCCTGAAATTCTGCAGAACCATACTTGTCCTCCTTTTGAAGGGGCTCCTCATATAATATAGTAAAGGAAGAATTGCCTTGTTCATCCTGAGAAACAAAGGCTAAACTAGATTCGTCCTTTTCATCACTGTAATCTACATTTCTCCTTTTGTCATATACTTCAGTGACAGACATAATTTTGTTGAGCCTTACAACTGTGTCCTCTGGTTGAAAATCTGGCATTGCTAAGGCTGGGTAGCCCTCATAATCCTTACTTAATGTAGGGGATTCATATCCCCTAAAATGCGAAGCAAGTCTGTCATCACGCAATATCAAGGCTTCCTTTAGTTCAGTGGGCTCTTGTTCTTCAACATTCCTCTCCATGTACTCTTGAAAAGCTTTTTCAGTTTCAAAGACAGGAGGCATGGCCTCCGCTTGGGCAATGGTCACTTCAGGCCTTGTTCCAGTTGTTTCCTCGATGTCTACCTCCACAGCTAATGCTTCATGCACTTCAATATTGTCACCAGAATGTTCTGGGGCTGCCATTTCCATTCCCATTTCAGAAGGCATGGACTCAACTGCTCCATTTGTCTCTTTTCTATCTCTTTGGACCCTTTTCCCCAAAATTTCTAAGGGAGGTGTTTCCTTGTTTTGTGTTTCTTTCACTTCTAATACAAATGGTACCATTTCAGTATGTCTGATGACCTCTTTAGCCTCCTTTTGGTAAGGAGCTTCCAGTTCCAACATAGGTCTCTCAGTCTTTCTGATAGCCCCTTCATTGTCTTTTTTGTAAATATTTACTGCTTTTAAAATAACAGGCATCCCTTTAGTTTTGTGAGCATCTCCTTTGGAGCCTGTTGGGTAAATATCTTCCATTTCTAATGCAATGGGTATCACATCGGCCTTTGCAACATCACCTTCTTCATCCCTTTGGTAAGTAGCTTCCATTCCTAGTGCAACAGGTATCGCTTCAGCTTTTGAAGTAATCCCCTCACCATCTTTTTGGTGGGTATTTTCCACTTCTGGCATAACAGATGTGACCCCTGTCTTTCCAACATCCCCTTCAGCATGTTTTTGGTAAATATTTTCCATCTCTATTGAAACAGGTGTCACCTCTGTCTTTACAATATCACCCTCAGCATCTTTTTGGTGGATATTTTTTATTTCTGACTTAACAGGTGTCACCTCGGGTTTTCCAATGTCCCCATCACTATCCATCTTATAGGCTTTTTCCATTCCAGAAGTGATAGGTGACTCAGGTTTTTCAATATGCCTCTGAGCATCCATTTGGCATGTCCCTCCCCTTGCAAAAATCTCAGCTTCTGGCTCAGCTTTGATACTATTCAACTCAGCATCCTTTTTACATGTTCTTCCTTTATCTGATATAGAAGGGGCTGCTTCATATTTCCTAATATTCAGTTCAGCATTCCTTTTGCTTGTTTTTCCCTTTTCTAGAATAGGAGGAATAAGCTCGATTTTCCCTACATTTACTTCATTTTCCTTTTTGTGAACTTTCCCTAATTCTGCCATTGCAAGGGGTGTGCTTTTACTATGTCCTGGCAAACTCTTTTCAGATATGCATACAAGGCTGTCAGACAAGCTGCTTTTGGATGTGCCAGGAATATGGATGTCATCATTCACAAACTGAGGCAAGTTGAAATTGAATACAAGAGTTCCTGTATCTTCTGCGGCCATTTTGCGATTACCCACACACTCTATTTCTGCTGTCTTTTTATAGTACTCATTGACAAATAAATGTGGTTTTACTCTATCATCTAACCCTTTATGGAACATGTCTTCAGTATCTGATTTCTGCAAATGTATGCTATCAGACTGTGCAGCTCCACTTTCAGAAAGTGGAGATTGTTGATAGGGAACAATCTCTCTTCCCTTAATTGGCTCAGAGCCACTAAGTAAGTTACTTATGGGGGCAAATTTACTTAATAATTTATTTTCACTAATTGCACATGTGCTTTGATTTACTGCCTGTTCTGATACCAAGAACTCTCTAACTAAACCATGTGACTTAACACTATCACTGTTCAGAATTTTTGAAGTGTTAGCCTGAGGTTCACAACCCCAGATACCCTCAGTATCCTCAAAAGCATCATTTGTCAAATTTTCTTGAGCTGTATAAATAACCTCATTGACTAATTCCCTAGCTTGATCTTCTAACAAACAAGATACATTCACTCTATCAAAATCAAAAAGGAGAGTTGTCTCACCAACTGCAGGTGAAAGACAGGCCTTCTCCTCTTCTTTGACTTCTGACATATTTTCCATGCCCTGCTCTTCCAAAATCCCTTTCAGTTGGATCCCTGCTAATGTCACTTCTGATGGACTGTCTTCTTTCAGGGTACCTGGATTCATTATATCATCTTTGCCTAGATGCTCCTGGCAGGTACCAACCACATGTTTAGATTTTAGTTCTTCTCTGACAGAATTTAAAATCTCTTCAGTCAATGTATCAGCTTTTGAGAGTAAGCCACTTTTGAGTAAAAGTTGGTCACGTGCTCTTTTCCTTGCTTCTATCTGGTCAGCAGACTCTTCAGAACACTGCTGGCACGAGCGGTTAACTGACACTGGTCCCCCAGCAACTGTTCCAGTCTCCGTTTCCATGGGATTGTCCATGTTTCGTGAAGTGGTTGAGATATCAAGAGATCCCTTCCTAGTATGAGACTCCAAACACCTCAGAAGTGGGGTCACCACTGCCTCTACTGGGCTAGAGGTCTCTAACTCCACATAAGAGCTACTAGGGTGCACTCGGTTAGCTACATCTGAGCACTTTTCTTTAATCTCATGATCTACTGATTGAATGTTTTTGTCCTTCTCAATCTCCAGAGAAGTTAATTCTGATAAAACAGTCTTAGATGGGTCATCTGCAACTATAATTTGGGAAAAAGAAATTTTCTCCTGAGAAACGTCTCTGGGCTCTGTTGGGGAAACAGATACCTGAGGCAAGGTTTTTCCTCTTGCAGAATGTGACTTAGCAGGAAAGATGCTCTGATCGCCAACCTCCACTTTTAATAAAATTTTAGCAACGTTGTCAGTTTGGGCTTCCAAGTAAAGAGAATCTGACCTCTTTACTGTGCTCTTACTTGTTTCAGTGTTTGAAGGCATTAACTCAGCTTTCTTAGGACTCTGAGGTGAAATGAAATCGTGATCATCAGAGCTGCCTCCAGGTTCAAAGTTCAACAGGTCTACCCCAGCTAAGTGAGTACCATTGGTTTCAGAACCTAAGGGGAACAGGCATTCTTCACTATCAGGAAGAATTTCCTTAGGTTCAAGAATCACAGATACATGTCCAAGGTGGAGGGCAGGAGGGGGAGTCTTCCTCTCTGCAGCCTCAACATGATTTGCAACATTTTCTTCTTGACACTCCTTAGGATGAGGGTAAGTGTTGTCCTGTCCAGTTTCACTGGGGAGAGAAGATCCCTCACTCTTTAAAACAGGGAGACCTAACTTGCTGAGCATGTCGATTCCAGAAACAAAGATAGGAGGTACAGCACTGAAATTGGAATTTTTAGTGTCAAGGTTAAGAGAGATCTTAGCATCGGGTAATACTTTGGCTTGCTGAGGATTCTCTGAGTGAAGAGGAGTTTCAGAAATGTGATTTCTGTTAAGTTCAAAATTCAGTTCAGGTGCTATTTCATTTTGTAAGCATGTTACAACTTCTGAGTCACTGACGTGTTTCATAGAGGCAGGGTCCTCTTGACTTAGTCTCATACTACAAGTTTTGCCACATGGTTCCAAATCAAGCTTTTTATTTTCTGTTTCACACAGTTGATCAGTACCTTTGGGCAAAATCTCAATTCTATCTTCTGGAGCTTTTACATGACTTGAAGTTATGGGTTTACCTCGTGAGGAACTTTCTGTTTCTTGCATTTCTGAAACCACATTTTTCTGTGAGTTTTGGGCAGGTAGCTTCTTTCTTTCATTTACAAGTTCTGTGTCTGTCACAACATGTCCCTGGAGCACAGCAGTGCTGGGATGATTGGCAGTCTGCTTTGATGGGTTATCTGCGGTTGGCTTGTCACAACACTTACTCTCTGGCAACTGCACATCTCCATGACTAATTGATTTATTTGAACTTGACAAATTTGTACTTTCCACTTTGGTAGTGTCACTCCCAGTAGATTTATTACAAGAGAAATCAGAAACAGCAGGTCTCTGCGGCTCAACATGTTCCTCTCTTGGCACCAGCGTCCCATCACTCATCACTGGACTGTCTTCTTTCAATGTAATTTCTGCTGTAGTTTTCCTCTGAAATTCTGGACTTGAAGAGATTTGGTTCTTTTTACTTCCTACAAACAATGATGAACATTCCAAACTTTTATCAGTCTGAGACACTGATTCACAACTTAAATGGTACTGTGAATCAGATTCCCCAACAATGTAGTTGGAGTTAGTCACAGAAGAAGGGGATGACCAACTTCTCCCAGAGCCTTCATGGCTATTTTTATTTAAAATATCCTTAGACAAAGAAATAGGCTGCAATTCTGGAAAGGTTTTCAGATGGCTTTCTGTGTTGAGATTTATTCTGCTACAATCAGAGACTTCTACTGGGCCTCCAAGCAAATGTCCTTTTGTGGATATGTCTGTGTTAGCTGATGCCAACCGGGCGATCACAGTCTCAGTTACACTTCCAGTGCCAATGTGTGTGTTTGTACTTGAGTCAGAACTTTCATTTTCTCTGTCTAAGGGACACACAGTTTCCAGCAGAGTCTGTTGCTTCAAATATTTCCTAATTTGTCTAGGGCCTCGATACGTTGCATATGTTACTGAAGGCCTCTCTGGTTTAAAATCAGTGTCTTTTCTGTGAAAAGAGACAGCATGAATATCACAAAATATAATTAATAACAGTAATACCAGCAAGTATATCTTTCAAATACCACTTTATTTAAATGTACTGCTTTAGAGAAAAAATTCTAGAAATTTTAAACATTTTATTAAAAATAACAAAGACTTGACAAACAGCATGTGAATATAAAGGCACCATTAAAGTCTGAGCTCCTTAAAACTGTTCCTTCTTACCCGATTATCTACATTTTCAGATCATGGTCACTAAAGAGAACATGGAACGGCAAGCCAAAGCTTGGGTTCCTGTTCTTATACCCAAATGCCTGACTCTAAGGAAGGACACTGACTTTGAGCTTCATGTTGGTACTATGAAGTTTACTGCGATTTCTCCAACAAATTAAAACATCAGAATTAGGGCCTACTCCATTGCTTTTACATGTGAATTTGAATGGCTACTTTTAGTTTAGTTAGAGAAATTTTAGAGAAAAAAACAAGATGTTTAGCCCACAGTTAACCTTCATTAATCAAAGACAGAATTACTTTGCAATTCTCTCTTATACTGTTTTTTTTTTTTAATATCTAACTCATATAATAAGTACTAAATTGCTTCGGTAAGTGTAGAAATCCTAACAGAGTTCTAAACAGAGTAGAGAACTAACCCCCACATACAGTTTCTGATGTTCTCACCACCTAACCTGCTGTGAAGAACTGACCTCTGAAAGCTCTCCTACAAGCTAGCTTTGCAGCCCTGCATGAACATCATCTCCAGTCTTTATCTCCATTACCAAAGGGAGAGTGACCTTAATTCTCACTTCTAAGAACCCAGCTCACAAACCAGCTGCACCAAAAACTGATTCCTTTTACTAAGCTGGATATTCAGTCTCTAATCTGTGGGTTCACAGAACACAATATTTACCACATGAAATCATAATGAGCTGAGCTGTTATATCTTCCACTATTCCGTTAGCCATCTGAAGAAATACACTGTGCCGCCATCAGCATCTCTGTATATTTGAACACCCTACATAATATATAGTAAAATAGGGGCTGGAGAGATGGTTCAATGGTTAAGAATACTTGTTGTTCTTGCAGAGGCCTGGCTAACAACTCTCCATAACTCCAGTTCAGTTACAGGGGATCTAACATCCTCTTCTAACCATCACAGGCACTAGACAACATGGGTACACTTACATACAGGCAAAATATTCATGCACATAAAATAAAAATAACACATAAAAATTTAAAAAATCTAGAAAATAGCATATACTTAATGCCTCTTGTGAATTAATGCATGATTAAATAAAAAAACTATTTGCTAAATAATCTACTTCCAGACTAATGTCTTCTTTCTATTTTAAAATTTTGATGTTTTTATATGATGTGCATGTGTGTATAATTGGGTGTATTTATATGTACCTTATGTGTATAAGTGCCCACAGAGGCAAGAAGATGATGTGAGATTCCCTTGGAACTGGAGTTACAAGTGGTTATAAACTGCTGACACAGGTGCTAAGAACAGAACCCAGGTACTCTGCAAGAACAACAAGTGCTCATAACAGCTGAGCTATCTCGCCAGCTCCCAATGTTTTAATATTTAAGTAATACTATAGTATCCTAAGTTCTAAACTCATGAAATTTTAGGGTCCTGAATATAAAACATTTATGGTAAAAAGACTGGTTATATGTTCTACGTTACTTTTTCAGGTTAAACATATCATAAACCAAAACACAAAATCCTTATGACAAGTGAAGAAATCCTGTTAGTATTCCAGTATTTTTAAATCCTTACTTTCAAAGCAACATTAAAACAGCTAGATCTCTAATCTGTATGCATCTGATTATTACTAGTCATAATCGGTTGCACTTGGATCCTTGGCGCCTGTGTATATCTATGAAGTCATCAGGTAGATTTCATTGGTAATGTTTATCACCGCTACTAATTAGCATGATGTAAACTTCGATGCTTCCTCCTAAATATAATACATTTTTAAAAATTTGTTGATGTTTTTGTGTGTGTGTGTGGATATCACACAGAACATCCCAACATCTCAGTGTTAATAGCAAAAACAATGAGTCTTTCTGCAAGGAACAATATATTCTAAAATGAAATGGAGATCTTTTTAAAGGTTAAAAAACTCATTCAATTTTATGTCTTACAGAGTTCATACTGAGTTCAATATTGTATAAGCGTATTAATTCAACTGTGAACCTAGAAACTTGCACCCACTTGTGAAAGAGATGTACTCTTGCTCTGGAGTGTGTTACTGAACATGTTAAATCTGTAGTGAAATGCTTCTTCTAATCATATAGTTATTAAAAATTTAAAAAATAATGATTAAAAAAATAATTTAAAAAAAGCTAGATATATCTAAATGATAAAACCAAGTAAGTCTTCTTTAGCATATAAAACTTCAACAACTGTGCCTCATATATACTTCTTAAGTTTTAGCTGAACTAATTTATTTTACCTCATATAAATGCTGGCTCCTACAAACCTACCAAACTATTACTATAGGAAAAAAAAAAAAAAAAGAAGAAGAAAAAAAAAAGAACCACATTTGTTCTATTCATTCATTTTTGCTCTTTATTATTAATGAACTGTGGAGAAAAAAGCTTTGCCTTGAATAATGGCTTTAACTACAACATGAGCTTCTTCTGATCAAAGAATTCTAAACAAAATCTGATTTTGGATAAGGGGAATCTTTGAAAAAGAATACATATGCAAGAAGAGAAAAACATATGAGTATATTAATACTACTGGTGAATTCCATATCGACATACATAAATTATTCTGAAAAATACAAGAAATTTTCAGAAAATACTAAAATCCAGAAGTTTGAATAAAGTTTTTGTCTATTTTTCTTTTAAGGTTATGTTGTATACTTAAAACTGTCAACAGACTCCAACTTTTTTACCAAAAATATGATCCAAATTCTGAAGAAATGAGAACCCAAAGAAATGTACATGATGCCAATTAAATAGAAAAAATGTAAAAATCAGAATTTTATTCTTCAGGTTTTGAGTCCCTTTCTACCAACTCTGTCTGAATTAGATCTCAAAGTATTTTATCCTGCACAATAATGCAACTTTGGTCTGAAGAACTCTAATAAACTGCACTAAATCTCAACTTACTATAAAAATATCTCATATAGTTTTGGAGCACAGGGAGGGGAATCAGTATTGTACACTGTACTTTTCTTAAAACTTTCTGTCTGCTTTCAACTATGACAACTTATTTTTCTTAGTTTAAAATTCTAACAAGATAATTTTCTGTAGCACCCTGAATGGAAATACTATACAGTTGTAACTAAAATATGCATTGCTATATTAAACAATTACCATATTTAAAGCATTGGACATCAAAGTTGTAAGCCTAGTTTAATGCATTATAATTAGCTGCTTCAGTACAAGGCAGTACTAAGCAGTACGCTGCCACGACTTAAAAGGTCAGTTACCTAACACTATTTTACACATCACTGTCTCATGGGTTACAGATGAGTCACGATAAGTGAATAATCCTGGGAACATTAAAATGTCTTTTTTATTATGTTTAAATAGAATACAAATGTTAAAAACATGTACCTTAAAAACTAAGTTGAAGATGGGAAATTATAAGATGTTATCTTTCACAAGTTGAACAGAAAGAGAATCTTATGTATGTAAGTATGCATGTGATTAATAGTTTATTCTTTATACTAAAAGTATGTGACCCAAAAATTTTAGAAATGAAGTAAAATACTTAAAAACTACATATATTTAAGACAACAGGCATAGATACCCAAGACAATACTATATCATGTGAATGCTTATTTAAGGCTCTATGTAAGGCATATGCAGTGCTGCAATCTGGATAAATTTGATATAGCTTGTATTACAAAGGTCAACCAAATATATATCATTTACAAAGAAATTTCTATAATAGGAGCCTGCACATAACAATTAGCCTTTTGGAAAATGTGTCTAATAAATAATGTACCTAATAGGAAAACATGATGACTAAGCTACTTTTAAAGCAATATTCCTTTCCAAGCACATAGTTAAGCATATTTTGTTTCACAAGAGGGAAAAATTTTAAAGAAAAACTACAATACTAACAAAGTTGCTTTTTTGAAGGAAAGTTTTGACAGAATGGTTTCTCACGATGAATATGAACCTGAGTGAAAAAATATAAAAGTTATAACAAGGGCTGGAGAGATGAGAAAGACAACATAAACCCCTAAGTTAATTCATTCTTCCATATATAAGAAAACTGAAATACTCATATACAAAATTTAAGAAATATAGGCTTTTGATTTTAAGTAATATTTTATTATTTGAAATAATACCTTGGGCTAATGAACTAGCCTACAGGTAAAGGCATCTAGCACCAAGCTGACAACTTGAGTTCAATCCCCTAGACCCCCATAGTGGAAGGAGAAAACCAACTCCTCCAATAGTCCTCTGACCTGCACACTCCCATCACACTTGTGTATATTCACATGCACACATATACACACATGCACACATACTAGATAAATAAGTGAATGTAATTTTTATAAAAGAACTAATAATACACTGTTACCTAAATAAGAAGCTGAAATATATCCTTGCTTTTAGTAAATTCTTATGATGGAATAAAAGCAACTTCAATATTTAAAAAGCAGATTTTAAAAATATTAATAAGATTTTTCTAGGCATATTATTTAAATAACATCTAAAATCCACTGTGAACAGTCCTAACACAAAACAGCAAAATAAACTACTCTTAAATGCGATTTAATTTTTAAATTGTAATCCTTAAACTAACTGATAATTGTGACTAGGACATCACAAAAACTAATTCTAAATGTGACAAACGGAGCCTTTCCAAAGTCACCTTGGAGGAAGTCTGTATCTCATTCATACTGGAAGTTTGCTGGACTTTTCCTTTCCTCCTCAATGAAGAATCACCTTTATGATGGAGAATTGCTCTAAGCAACTATTCCAGTAACAAAAAGGGCTTTACTGAAAAGAGATACAGTCTCCCCATTATTTTCTAATATATAAAAACAAAGAAATAAAACTGACCAAACTAATTAAAACCAAAGAAGAAAAAGAACAAACCTTCCATTCTATTGGGCTCGATACCATCTTAAATTACAATGTTGTATCTCAGTTCTAAGCAGGCAAAAACAAAAAACAAAAAAACAAAAAACCATCATCCAGAGAGGTTGTTGGACAACTGCCAGGCTCCATTCCAGTGCTGCTGAATCAGGGGGACTGATTTTCAAAACCTTCGTTTCTTAAAAAAAATATATATATATATATTTGTTTTTCTATGTGTATGGGTGTTTTGCCTGCTTGTATGTAAGTGCACCCATGTCATAGAAAGCCCGCAGAGGCCAGAAAAGGGCATCACACCTGAAACTGGAGTTACAGATGGTTGCTAGCAGCCATGTGGGTGCTGGGAATCAAACCCAGATCCTCTGGAAGAGCAGTCAATGCTCTTAACTGCTGAGCTATCTCTCCAGACACACAACCTTCACTTCTAATGATTTCAATGATGCTGCACTGCTGTTACAAGGATAGCACACAGCCAACTTCATACAATTCCACAGCATAGATATACTACAACTCATTTACAGCTCTACCTCTAGACATTTTGATTCCAACACTATAATGCTAGCTCTTAATAAACATCTTTGCATATCACCAGAAATAATCTATATACTCTTTAAGGCTCTTGATTCATATTACCAAACAAACACCTAAAACATGACTAAATTACACCACTCCTAGCAGCCTTGAAAACTCTGGCTCATACAGAATATTTTAAATTCTGTTATCAATAGGAGATAACAATTCTCATTCTAGTTTGCATTTCTTTGTTTGCTAGTGAAAACTTTATACTTATTTACAGTTTATTTTTTATTTTATTTAAATTATGTTGTCTGTCCTTTTATTTTTATTAAGTTAATGTATCAATTGCTGAGTAGTTAAATCATTCTTGCCATATTTTTGCATAGGATTTTCTCACTTGCCATTTATCATTGTTTATGTTGTTTGACACAATAATCAAATTTTTTGATCTTCTCTGTCTTGATCAACCTCCCATTTCTATTAAGCTTAGAAAATTATTTCGCAGCAAAGCAAAACCATAACTCACATATTATTTAGGTTTTGTTTGTGTTTTGAGATAGGGTCTGCCTATCCTCCCGGGTGGCCTGGAACTTGCTATGTAGATCAGGATAGACTTGATCTCACAAAAATCCCCTTACCTCTGCCTCCCCGATAAGAGGATTAAAGGTGGACACCATCATGCCTAGTTTAGTTTGTTTTTCTAACGTTTGTTAGGCTATCTTAATTTATATGTATCGTAATTCACATTTTGCTTATTTTAGTTTGTTTTAATATTTCTTCGCTATTCTATCTTCATTTATTTCAACATAAAATTTAGAGATGTAGTTTTTTCCTCCAATTTTTAAACAGTTTTTTTTTTTTCAGTTAAATCTTCCTTCTGCATGATACATACTGTTCTTAGACTTGGGAGGTGTCGTGGTGGGTAAACGGCTTATTGTGCAAACACAAAAACCTTACTTCCAATTCCTAGAATCCATGTAAAGCCTGGCACAGTAGTACAAGTCTGCAATCCCAGGGTTCCTTTGGAAAGATGGGAGGCAGAGACAGAAGAATCCCCAGGAGTTCATGGGTCACTCAGCATGGCACACTCAATAGCAAACAAAAAAAAATCCTGTCTCAAAAGAGCTAGAAGGTAAGGACTGACACTTGACATTCTGACTTCCATAAAAACATTGTAGTATGCATATACCTGTATACACATGTGTGCACACACACATATACACACACATACACAAATATATAATGTCTCCCCAAGGGTTTTATTGACAAATTTTTAGAGTCTTTCTAGGCTGTTTATTCAGTAAATATCATGATACTATTTACAGGTTCTGTAGCTTTATCAGCACATTTAGCATCTGGTAGAGTAATCCTCACCACAGCACCTGATGAACAAACTCTCATCTACTTGAGTCTCTGTTTATACAAGATGGGCCTTACCTCATAAGCCTGCCATGAGGAATTAACACAGCACTCATATGAAGACACTTCATAGTTTTTACTTAACAGAGATGGTTAATCTTGTCAGCTTGACTGGATTTAGAATCACCTAGGATATACACCTCTAGACTTGTCTGTAAGGGTATTTCCAGAGAGATCTAACTGAAGAGGAGGAAGAAAGATCCATCCTGAGTTTTAGTGGCATCATCCTATGGCTAGACACCCAGACTAAATAAAAGGGGGGAAAGTAGAAAGTCTGGTAAACTCTACCTCTCACTTCTCCGAGCTTTCTAACTGTAGACAAAATGAGACCAGCACCTTGTGCTTCTGCAGCAAGCCGTCCCTCCTATGACAGACTGTATCTCCCTAAACCACAGGCGAAAATACATCCTTCCTACCTAAAGCTGCTTCTTATTGAGTATTTGGTCACAGGAACGAGAAAAGCAAGTAATACATCATTTATACCTTATTAGAGTATTATTAATGGTCTCTTAAAACAATAAATTCTCAAGTGAAGTTGAAATAAAATCAATGAAACTTAGGTAACTCTTCATTATGAACAAATTCTTTTATGATACCAAGGATGCCTAATGTACTCAAGCCAGTTACAAACATCTTTTGGGTAAAAAATATCCTTCTAGCATACTTAAGTATGAGGAAAAACAGGTTTATACCTGCTTGTTAATAAAAGAAATAAAAAGGAGTGTTGAAATGTTCCTTAAATTTTGGTAAGCCTTTACTTACTAAGAGCTATGGAAAAGGTTCATAAGCATAGTTTCAAGAATAGAGACCATTTATTTTCTTAGCCCCTTTAATTGGATTCCACAAAAAAAGAAAAAGACATTGAAGTAATAGGAATACAAATCTTGATCATTCTAGTTATAAGATGCACATACTGAACACATTGCCTGCCCGAATGTAGGAGGAATTCAGATAGCAGGAAACTCCCATGCAGAGACATCTTAAACTTAAAGTAACTATTCCACTAAGATGAATTTAGCACCTAGAAGATATTGGCACTACTCACTAAAGTGGCCCAAAGGGCCCAAGGTTATCTGGAGAGTATACACAATCATACCATTTTGTACCTGATGGTGGGAAGCATTACAGAGTATCTTTTTCCAGTTCCTTCAATTAATAAGGGTTACAACTCAGGTTCAAAAAGCTAGATCCAAAGGCTTAGGATTTTTTCTTTTTTTTGGCCCAAACATCTTTTAAACTTACTTAAGCAAATCAGTGGTTTCCTGTTCACTGTCTTGTGTTGTATCCAAAGGACAGACATCTGAGAGTTGAGAGGAGTTGGACTCTTGTTCTTCCACTGGAAGTGCCTGGGTTCCCACAGAGCCCCTGGCAGTCTCCCTCTCCCTTTCAATCTGCTCCTCCCCATGATCATCACTGGGAGTCTGTGGGTCTTTTTCAGTTTTATCCCGGTCATCTTTGAAAGAAGATTGTTTTGCTTCCCCAAAAGATGATTTTCCTGAGATACTGAATAAATTCCCAAGAAACTGGAAAAAGCTTTCTTTTGGCTGTCGGTCACTTTCTCCTGTTTTAGTATCTGATATGGAACTAGAGAGGTCATTTGGTTTGGGGGGATCTTCCAGTTCTGGCAGACTGACTTGTTTCTCAGCATGGTTCCTTCTGTCCTCATTGTGGGCAATCTAAAAACAAAATAAATAAACACCATCACTTACAAAATAACACAGACCGACTGGTCAGCTATTACATGACAGATGCCAGGGGCACATATGTGAGCCAAACCCTTGGCTCCAGTTTCTTCAGGCAGTTTACAACCTAATTAGACCACAGCAACACAGCTTGAACAAAACTGCAGGTTAACATCACAAAGGGAGACTTAAGGTACTCCACTCTTCAGAGCTAGAGTAACCAGTCTAGGTTTTAATGAGATGACAGCAGAGGTTGTTTCTTGGAGGAAGTAACCCTCTGAAACAAACCTCAAAGTTGACTCTGGTGTGTGTGTGTGTGTGTGTGTGTGTGTGTGTGTGTGTGTGTAAGAGCGAGAGCGAGAGCAAGAGAGAGAAAGTTTAGTGAGGTGTCAGCTTTTAAGGGATTTCCTATAACTAGAGATTAGAATTCGGAAGTGATAGGGGCAGATCATGGCAAACCTTATATGTATTTAGATATGCCTTTTACTATTATGGGTAGCAATTAAACACTTAGTACATTATACAAATAAATCTATACTGACTTCATCATTTCAACATGTATTAACCCATGATGCTTTTGCATTTTGTAAAATTGTTCCCCAAGATGATCACAAAACCCAAGAACATGGTATACTAATTCAGAGAAAAGGCCCACTGAGACCCTTCGTAGTAAAACATGAAGTCTTAATAGGGCATTAAATACAAAACATGGAACATATTATGCATTCTTTGCAGACATTGAACATTTTCAAAGATGCATTTTACCTGCTCAAAATTCAATTGTCAGTAAAGCATTATCACATTCAAACCTACTGCTCAAGCAAAGATTAAGCTGAGGGAGCAAAGAAGTTTCTGCCATTCCACCTCACACTCTTCCAGAATTCCAAAAAGCTTTAAGCAAATGTGCCAACTCACCCTGCCTTCCAAACACGCTTGCTCACATACTTGTAAATGGAATACACATCCAACAGTATCTCACCTGCCATGCTCTTCAGTCCTCATAAAAGGAAAGCTCAAATGTGAGTCAGAAAAAGATCAGAACATCAAGGTAAAACCTCCTTAGGACACTGTAGGTTCATATGACAAAGTTTTATAACAAGCTGATCTTCAAGAGAGCAAAAGCATCACAATTATTTGTAATATCGGCTGTTCACCTCAGTATAAGTTTTAATCAAAGTTTGAACCACTTAGAGCATTCCACTAACCACTTATCAAATATAGTATGAGAGGTTAAAAAACCGTTGAGAACATAATGTTCAAGCAAAATGATTTCAAGTAAGCAGTATTGAAAGTTGGGTCCCACCTCAGGTGTAAGATAATATTTTTGAGTACCAGCATTCTGCTATGTGTTAGGAACTTGGTGTAGCTTATAGGACTCTACTTTTGGAATACTTCCATCTTTTAGAGGCACCACAAGGCTCACCTTCTATGGATTTCATCTGCATTATCACCCCCTGTCTCCCAGTTGGTTAGTTCCTCCAAGGGGTCGGGCCTGCCTTGGAGTATGGAGGATGGAGGGCTGCTGGGAGCCATCTTTGGAAGGAAGCTGTGAGCCTCAGCCAGCCACAGCAACTCAAGGGCAGAATGGACTAACTCTTGTGGACCTGGGGCGGGACCACTGTCCTTGAGGCGTGAACAAATGCTAGCAGTGACTATGGGCCTGGTGCAGTATGATACAGTGGGCTCTGAGCCAGGGCGCGTGCCCCCGCAGGGCTAGGCACTGGGTACTCATTCCTTTGTAAGTTAATAAATGCACATAAAGATATGTTATATGGTTTGCTTGACAGCACAGGAGGCCCAGAGGGAATTCGGGCAACACCCCCTTTATTTCAACCTTACCTATCCAACCTTTTGTTCATCAGTACAGCCCACGCTGTTCAGTAGAATCCTCTGCTCCCTTAATAGCCTCATTGTATGGCAGAAGACACACAGGCTGGCATTTTCAAAGTGCTCACATATATCAAAGACACTTTTTTTTCTTTTGACTATTCCATTTAATTTGGTCTAATTTCCAGGCATGCTATTTCTCCCTGGGCCAAAATGAACTAGCACTAAAATGTAGGTGAAACTGTGATTCATTCTTTGCTCTAACTAGGATGAATGACTGCTCCTCATGCCTGGCCACTTGAAGAAGGCCAACTATAGGTTGCTATTAAATAGTCTTAAAATGCTTAAGATTCACAAAGGAAAGACTGGAGAGACAGGTCAATGGTTAAGAGCACTGGCTCCTCTTGCAGAGGACCTGGGTTCAGTTCTCAGTACCCATATGGCAGCTAACAAACATGGGTTACTCCAGTTCCAGGGGATCTGACACCCTCTTTTCACCTCTGGGCACTGCATGGCATGGGTGCACTTACACACATGCAGGCAATATACTCATACACATAAAATAAAAATACTTTTTTTTAAAATTCACAAAGGAATCAACACTTGTTTCTCCTTTTAATTTTAAGCTTCTAGACTCTCTATAAAGTAAGTTTAACAAAGGATTTTTTTAGTGTCTTTAAATGTCTCATTTTCTTAATTTTCCCCTTATAATCTTTTGAGAAAAATTTCTCAGTAATTAAAATATTCTCAATAAGAAGTTTCTAAATATAGAAACAAAAGTGAGCAAGCAAGAGCAGTGCTATTCAACTTAAACCCCCACAATAAAATCTGCATTTATATGATTTAAAATTTAAAGTTTGATCTAAAGACTGTTCTTTGCCCTGAGCCTGGAAAACAATGAAGTTTAGCCAGCCCCAGGCTCTCATTAGGTGGGGCCCATGTCCGTCTGCCAAGAGGCCTGTTTACCATTGTTCTACAGTAAAATAAAACCACTCAGATTCAAGCAAGCACTAACAAACCATCAATTCTAGTTGCTCTCAAAGATGTTGTTATTCTGCATACAACATATGAATGCAATGATGAAGGCATGTGTCTTGGGAATTTTTTTTCCTACTTACATAATAGGTTGTGACTGCTGTGATCTTAGTCTAAATTCATCCATTTATGCTCTTTGATCCATGTAGTACAAGAAACTAGAGGAAAGCATTCGTTGTAGTGGTTAATGAGACTCACTTAGCTATGGTTTGGGGGAGCTAACAATTGAGCAAGATGTTCATCACTGTGTCACTCTGGCATCTAGAGAGGTGCACAGTGGAGGACATAATTAACCCATGAAGGATAGAGAGTATTCCCTGGTGAAGGAAGTAACATTTTAGCTTGTTCCTAAAAAGTGAGATGAAAATTCTAGACTAAAGGTATAGCACATAAAGTATTAAAGATGTGTACTCTATTGGGTGTGGCAGAAGACTAGAGGAGAGACGGAAAGGGAGAACAATGAAAGAGCTCCAAGAGGGGGGAAAAAGACGTTTCATACACAAAAAAAGTGAAGAAATCAGAGAAAGAGACAGAGGACATCAAAGGCAGATAAGGTTGTTCCCTCCAGAATACTGGTCTCCAGAGGCAAAAGACAAAGAATTCTTCCAAAATCAGAAGGAAGGAAAGAATGCCAAATGACCACACAACAGGGATGGGGAAATTTCACAAGGCCCCATACCTAGATGAAGAACCACAGGCAGTCAATGCTGAGAAGAGAGTCAGTGTTTTTGAGGGAAGCTCCTGATAGGTTATTCAATCCCAAGTGGTCAGCCCTAAATACATGTACATAATAGCAACACTAAATGAACACAGGTTATATATATATATATATATATAACATACATTACACATGTAATATATAAACATATTACATGTGTAATATATATAAAACATATATTATGCATGTAACAATAATAATTATAGAAGGGGTCATGAATCGGCAACATAGGAAGAGGGAAGAGTTGGAAAAGGGAGGGAGAGAAATGATGTAAATACAGTATTTCATGTACGAAACCCTCAAAACATTTTTTAAATTTTATTTAAAGAAAACAAAGGATGCCAAATGCCACTGTCCACTCATAAAAGGATAAGAGCCATCTCCTCGCTGATCTTCAAACACAGAAGGCAGCCTCCTACCTCAGGGATTTTGCATTTACTCTGCTTAGAATTTCTTCTCCCAAACTCAGACCTCATCTCCTTCAAAATTCTTCTAAAGATCCCCATCACTATCTAAAATAATTAATAAACTCCTCCCTTCCAAACCTACTTAATGCCCTTCTTTATCTTAGTCCTCCTACTTGCCAGTAAATACACACACACACACACACACACACACACACGCACGCACGCACGCATGCACGCACGCCACAGACTTGTATCATTACCCATCTGTTTCTTCCTCTAGAAAATAAAACATGCATATAGAAAGTTCTGTTTCACTCACTGTAGCATCTTGCATATATTGAAATATACATGACAATAGGAGGTTTTTGTTATTGGGGTGAAAGGACTACTTTTGTTTTTGGTTTTGTTTTGTTTTGTTTTTTGGTCTTTTTGAGACAGGGTCTTCCTGTAGCCCCAGCTGTCCTGGAACTCACTATGTAGACCAGGCTGGGCTTGAACTCACAGAGATCTGCCTGCCTCTGCCTCCCAAGTACTGGGATTAAAATCATGCACCACCACACCCAACAAAAGGACTACTTTTGAAAAGCCTCAGAATGCAAGAGAAATAGTCAAAATAGCTCAGAAGTTCATAAGTCCAGTCCTTATCTAAAGGTGGCAGGCAACGGACAAACTGTTACAACCTAGAAGTGGATCTTTGAGAGATTTTAAGCTAGAAAGAATGACAATTGGTACATTAAGTTCCAAAACAGAAGAGCCCTTTTGTTCCTGTTTTATGGGGAAGCTCTATACTTATTGGAAAGGTAAGGATAAAAGGTTCCAGAAAAAGTAGATAAGATGAAAAGACCAAGTTCTAACAGTTTTAATGAAGGGGAGCTGTTAGCCTTAGAAAGAAACGGCACTCCTCTGTACTAAAGCCTCAACAATTCTCTAAGCAGAGAAGACAATAAAGTCCAACAAATGGCTCTGACCTCGGAAAAGGGATGGGGAGAGTAGGAGCAGGAAGGATT